GTAGATGATAGGGGAGATCGTGTCAAGTGGAAGTTTAGGATAAGAGTGGCCGATCCTAAGTAGTTGGGATTAAGGCGAGGAAGAAGAAGAGAATCAATGAGAATGATCATAATCTTATATTACATTACCTGGAATATGATCAAAAACAGCTTTTGATAACAATATTAATATGAATGGAATGTACTTAAGAGTTACTCCTAAAACTTGAGCTATTTCGGGATTATGACGAAGAACATCTTCTTCACTTTCTAAAATTAAATTGATAACATTTTTTCTATAATTTTATACTAAAAAATCAGAATTAATGTGATAAATATAGAAATTTAAAATTAATGAATATCAAAATTATATTTATTGAAGTTGAAGATATACATTGAATGTTACTCACGGTTTTCAACATTGTTATTACTAGATCCATTAGGTGAAGTCCCTCCAGGAGTCTGAGTTTCATTTCCATGGTTTTCTTCTAAGTTAGATAAATTCATATTTATCGAAACATCATTATTAGATTCTATTGGAAGAGATCTTGCTTCAGATATAGGGACTCTTTGTGAAACTGGTGAAGTTTCAGATACTCTTACATCCCCTATTATATTAATAAAATTTAAAAAAAGCAAATTTAGAACAATTAATTTAAATTACCTGGAGCTATGGGATCTCTGTCTTCAGTATCTGATGAACTTGGTGGTGATAGAGGAGAATGTGTATTACTTGCATTTAAATTTAACCAAGTAGGTAAACTTAGACGTACTGATGAACTAGGACCAAGAGGTTGTGGTGACCCAGGATCAGGATGCCGGGTTACTGATATAATAGGTCTTAATTCTTCCACTACGTTATGGACATTGCTTCGAAACATTGCAGAACTTTCAGCAGCTCTTCGCTCTAGATGCATCATAAGATCAGCTGCTAGGCTCATTCGACGACTAGGAGCAGTTGTGGCTACTCTAGAATCTGATAACAATTCAAACATTTTATAACTAACACTTAGTGACAAATTAATAACTTTTTACTTGTAGCAGTTTCAATAACACTGCTATTACTAGTAGTTGCTGGTACTGAAGTCTCATTCGAATTAGACATCTTAAAAGAAATACTTTATATATGCAGAAATAATTTTATTCTAACTTTAACATTTTACATTGTTAAAACATTATAATACACTTAAACAATAGAAAACAAATAATATAATCAACCTTAAAA